TGCTTCCACCCCAAGTCCGTTGGACATCCTGATCTTCAGGGGGTTGGAGAGAGAATTGCAAGGATGCCTGAGGTTTGAGCTGAATCACTATTCATCATATCTTTGCTGTTCAGAAAATGAAAGAGCCGGACATGAAAGGCCATTGAGGGCTGGAGCCAGGCCCGGGCTTCCGAGCACCCAGTGTGGGCTCCTGGCAGCTGCTCTTGGCCAAGGGATGGAGCAGTTCAGGCCCAAGCCGTGTCCTACTTTACCTTCCCCCAGGCGTGGGCCGAGCCTCAGCGCCCTCTTGAGCATCTTATCCGAGGATAATTTGAGCTCCTAGCAGGAAGGCCATTCAGTACCAAGTATTTTTGTCAAAAATTTTGTTGCAAAAAAGTCTACCTTGAATTTTCAGAAGGAAAGAAGTTTTCCCCTGAAGGTGCATTGAGTCAAGGGCTTTTCTTCACTGGATTTTTGGATTTCATTGATTTTTTTTATCCATGAAACTTGATTCTGTGTATTTAGCACAATTTAGAGCTGGGTGCCATAACTGTGAGTCAGCATCTCTTACGTGAGGCCATAAAAGTAAGTCCTGCTGCTCTTTTTTTTTAGATTGTGGAGTATAGTTGATTTACAGTGTTATGTTTGTTTCAGGTCTACAGCAAAGTTAATCAGTATTATATACATATACTTAACACATATAATACATAATATGTAAAATACATAAATACATAACTATATAAGTACATAAGTTATAATATACAAATCATATATAAATTATATGATTTATATATAATGTATAATTATATAATTACAATTAAGCATATAATATATATTTTTCATGTATAATATCATGTATTATATATCATATGTATTCTTTTTCAGGTTCTTTTCCCTTTAAGATTTAACCTTATAGGTTATTACATAATGTTGGGTATAATTTCCTGTGCTGTATAATAGGTCCTTGTTGTTTATCTATTTTATACACAGTGATGTGTATCTGTTGCATTTCCTAGGTGGCTCTAGTGGTAAAGAATCGCCTGCCGATGCAAAAGACATAAGAGATGCAGGTTTGATCCCTGGATCAGGATGATCCCCTGGAGAAGGGAATGGCAACCCACTCCAGTATTATCACCTAGGGAATCCCAGGGACAGAGGAGCCTGGTGGGCTACAGTCCCTGGGGTCGCAGAGAGCTGAGATCCAGTGAAGCGACTGAGTATGCACAATGTGTATCTGTTACTACCAACCTCCTAGTTTATCCCTCCCTCCTCTTCCCTTTATAAGCAGAAGTTTATTTTCTGTATCTGTGAGTCTGTTTCTGTTTTGTATATAAGTTCATGCTGGTGTGCCCTTGATGCTCTGTTAATTTACTAAATTGCTGGAATAGTTCGATAAGATCCAATCTCCATTCTGTTCCTCTCTCTCTTACTCACCATCGACTGCTCACCCATCTTGCTGGTTCTTTTGCTCTTCCACCATCTTCCCCCACCCCTGGCTTTTTCCCCTATGTCTCCCGCCCTTTTCACCCTCTGATCTTCCATCCAGTCCTGTGACTCAGAGGGTGGCTCCGGAGCTTCCTGGCCACTTTCCAGGCCAAACCGATGGTGAAGGCGGTCGTGCTGGTAAAGGTTCAAGAACACATGACCTTGGGGCTCACCGTCCCCACGAAGCATCGTGAGCCTTGGGTGTAGCCGGCCTCAGCCTGTCCCTTTCGGGTGTGGGTCCTGATGTCCTCCGGAGCCCGTGACCTCAGCACGGAGGTGGGCCTGGGAGGAGCACGTTGGGCGGCCTGGCTCTGCCCTGCTGTGGGCTCTGCTCAGAGGGGATGGAGGAGAAGGGGGCCTGGGAGCAACGGTGTCCACTCGTTCAGACACTCACCTCTCCAGCTCCCCCGGTACCCAGAGCTTGCCTGTCTTAGCTCAGGTGAAGGCAGTGAGGCCAAAGTAGCCCAAGTGTCAACTTTATCATCAGCTCAACCAGAAGCTGCAAAGCAGACGGTGAGAACTCTTCAAAAGCCAGGTAGTTTTAAGCCATAGTTTGTTTGATGTTGGTAATTAACAGTTACCATTCAGTTCTGCAAGAAACCAGATGGGAGCGGTCCTTCCCCACGTGTCCGGACACTGACATGCAGACACAAGAGAAGTGGGGAGCCCCGGCCGCAGGCTCGGCCGGGTGAGGTCAGCCTGAGTGGTTTTATAAGCAGCTCCAAGCCAGGGCTGGGGCGGGGCTGCCGGCCGCCTGGGCGCAGCCCCTCGTGGGGCCTCGCTGGCTGGTGTGACTGGGCGCTGGGGGGTGGAGCCGCCTGGCTGCTGAGCGTCCGCTCCCACCAGTGACCCCTCCACGGTGCCAAGGCTGAGTGATTCTGGTTTCTTGCTTTTCATACTTGTCTGTGCTAACTTAGAGTATTAACTACCCATTCTCCCTCTTACCATTACCAAAATGTCTAATAATACCTTACCTGAGTAATTTTGAATTGGTTTATATATATAGAATGGTTTGTGTCCAACTCTTTGCGACCCATGGACTGTAGCCCGCCAGGCTCCTCTGTCCATGGGATTCTCCAGGCAAGAATACTGGAGTGGGTTGCCATTCCCTTCTCCAGGGGATCTTCCTGACCCAGGGATCAAACTCAGGTCTCCTGCACTGCAGGTGGATTCTTTACTGTCTGAGCCACCCTTACCTTTTATAGAATGGTTAACAGTCAGCAGTTATACTCCAATGAAAAAAATAATGGAAAAAAAAGAAAGTCAGTTATGTATTAAGAAAAGAACAGTTAATAATAACAAAGCCTGCAGCATTAAAGATTTAAAGAGCAGAGTTTTAAATAGTTCACTACTTCTTTCAAACTTTTAAAAAAAGTTTAACAATTTACAAAAGTGTGTGCTTATAAATTTTCAAAGTTAGCAGTATGAAAGCACAAAGTAAATGCTATAGGAGCCTTTAGCAAACAAGCAAGCAGATAAATAAATAGATCTGATTTTGCTTCCCAAATGACTGTGAGTTTCTGCTTTTCAAGTTATTGAGGTTTTTTTTTAGTTTTTCTTTGCCTTCTCTGTTTTTGTCACTATCCATGGGCTTGTGACTAAGAGCCCTTCTCTCCTCCTATTTAGAAAGAATGTGGTATAATGTCGAGGCCTTGGGCGTGGGAGCGAGATGCCGGGGTGGCTGGCCTTGTGCTTAAGATGGACAGTGTGTAGCACAGGGAGAGACCCCTCCTGTTCCCCATCCCTCCACAGGAGTGACCGCTGGTTCTTCCCGAAACTTCTCCGATCTGTTCAGGAGTGTACGCTTGGCGGGGGGGAAACAGCGGTGTTTCTCTTCTAAACATAAGTTGGATGGTGCTGCACACACCGTGATCTCGCTGGCCTTTCTCATGTAACTAGACAAGAGCATCTCTTCTCTTTCTCACAAGAGCATCTCTTCTTATCAATACATTTATCTTGACCTTATTTCATGCCATGCACCATGCTGACTTCACACGTCCATGATGATGCGTGTATCAGTTGTCTTGCAAACTATTTTTGTTGCAGGTAATGCTCTAGTGAGTACTCTGGTGCCTGCCTCCTTGTACCTGTGCAAGGGTGCACCTGTGAGTGTCTGAATCACACCTGTGACACCGGGGGAGCTGGGCTTGGAGCCCTGCAGGGCAGGGAAGCTGGATGCCTCTCCACCTTCCACCTTTTTATTGACTGAGGGCATGGCAACTTTGTGTGCTGGACCGGATAGCAATGAAAAGCTTTTCTGTGTTGTAATTCCATGAGTTGGCCCTTGAAAGAAGAATTGAGCTTGAAAGTCAGTGTCCTTTGAAAACACTTTTCTATCTAAGCGGACTTTATTTTTTTTTAAACATTAAAAGGGTTTATTTATGCATATGGAAACCTTCACAGAAAAGAAATGAGTACTCAGAAGAGAAGCAGTTAGACTTCGGGACTTATGTACCATTTTGACAAAGGGTGATAAATTATGGAAAGAGACTAGGAAACACATGGAGGAAACTAACAGGATAGAAGAGTTAGTGTAGCAAGGTCTGTTTGTGCAGACCCATCTTGGTGGTGGTGCCTGGTCTCCAGTGATGGGGGTCACTCTCCTCTTTCTGGAACAAGGAAGGCACGTTTCTCCCGGGAAATTTATGCCCTGCTGTCCGACAGTTACAAAGTGGGGCAGCAGACTCTTCCTGCATCTGCTGTTTCTCAGTTTAAGCTGACTTTAAAAAAGGTTTGTGTGTGTGGTCCAAGCGTCATGTCCATTTAAAGCCAGGCTGCTGACCATTGAGAAACCAGAGAGGCGGCCGTCAGCCTTGCTGTGGCCGCTGCAGCCCTGGGCTTCGGGCTGCCCCGGGGGAGGCGGGGGCGGGCATCAGGAGGGAAGGCAGACCCCTTCCTACCCGTTTGTCCACTCAGGAATTTAGGTATTGAGATAATACTGTAAATGGGTTTATTACCAACTTAATATGTCGTTTGTGCCAAGCTGGTCACTTTTTAATGATGAGCTCACTCCCTGAGTTAGTCACAAGGTAAATGGTCTATCTCGATTATTTTCTTACAATTTCGTAATTTGTTTATTTGGCTGCGTTGGGCCTTCGTTGCGGGCTTTCTCTGGTTGTGGAGAGGGGGACTACTCGTCGTGGTCCGTGGGCTTCTCACTGCAGCAGCTTCTCTTGCTGCGGAGCTCTGGCACCCTAGAGCAACAGGGCCCTAGGGTGCACGGGCTCAGTCGCTGTGGAGCCCGGGCTTAGCTGCTCCGAGGCACGTGGAGCCTTCCTGGACCAGGGATCGAACCCGTGTGCCCTATACTGAGAGGTGGATTCTTATCCACCATGCCACCCGGGAAGTCCCGGTTGTGTGTCTTAAACACAAGACTTTGTTCCCCAGAAAAAGTCTAGCACGGTGTTGTGGCTGAGAGTTTTATTAAGCACAGAATCCAGATGATGCACTTCAGGACCGGGGAATGGCAGGAGTGGGGATGTCACACCTGACCTTGGAGACGTGTCCAATGACAGCCGCGTCCCCTCTGTCCGCAGTGATGGGCCTGGTCCTCCCCATGTGGGCGATCGCCCTCATCTCCTTCGGGGTCGCGCTGCTGTTCGCCCTCTTCGTGTGGCTCTTCGTGTGTCCGTGGATGCGGAGGAAGATAACAGGTACGTGCTTTTCTGTTCTTGGATTTGCACAAAGGCTCCGACTCCTGAGCCTGCAGGCATCACACACCGTGATCCTGAGTAACAGAGGGAACACAAGCACGGTCAGGCCAGCCCTTGTCTCAGGGCTCCTGCCTGCTTTCTGGCGCAGATTTTTCCTGGATCACTTGGGATCCTGGTGAGAACGAGGTCCTAGTCGCCGTGGGTAATGGCGGGTAGCAAACCAGCAGCGTAGTACCGCCCTCCGCGAGAACAGCGAAAGGTAAAAAGACGAGATTCCGAGTGTGACAACTGGGATTCCCACGCATCTCTGGAGAAGTGAAAACTGGTACAAACAATGGGAAAAGCGAGTTTGGCAGTTTCCTATAAAGTTAAGCAAACATTTCCCATATGACTTAAGTAATTCCACCCCTAGGTGTTTATCCAAGAGAAGTAAAACTCGTACAGAAATTAAGTCATACTAGCCAAGAAGTGGAAACAACCCACAGGCTCATTAACAAGTGAGTGGATAACCAAATTATTCATACAGTCAAGGATGAATTGGCAGTGAAGAGGGTGAACTACAGGAGGAGCCACACACAGACACGCTCATCCTGTAGGATTCCAGAGGACAGCCACCCACAGCCACAGAAACCACCGGCTGCTGGAGACCATTGCAGAGGGGGCTGTGAGGGAACTTTGCTGGGACAGAAGGGAGCTTTAGGGACAGGACAGAGCTTTGCAGGCACAGGAGGGAACTTTGCAGGACTCTGTCTTACCTGGGGGGTAGTCTGTCACTACTCATTTGTCACAGGTCATCTACCTGCACATTTTAAAAGGTACACGTTTCATTGTACAGAAATTATACCTCCGTGAAAGCAGTTTTTTGAAAAAGAAGACTCTGGCTTAGAAAATTGCAGGGGCTATTGTCCTGTCACTGGCAACATGACTAAATTCCAAGCCTTATGGCCACACGCTTTTACAGGGCTCTCAAAAGAAAAGAAGTATCTACTTTTGGCCTTAGAGTGTACCTTACAGTCATGGTTTGATATGGACATATCTGAATTTTAAACCCACATTTCAAACAAAAACTGAACAACTGAGGAGACATTACCATGCTTATGAATGGGAAGGCTCAATACGGGAGAGATGTCAGTTCTCAAGTTGATCTGTACATTTAATGCACTTTAAATAAAAATCCCAGCAGGATATTTTGTAGATTTAGACAAGTCACTTTAAAAATGTATATGGAAGACTTCCCTCATGGTCCGCCTGCCATTGCAGGGGACAGGACCCCAGGAGGATCCCTCATGCCGAAAGCAGCTGCGCCTGTGAGCCACAGTGAAGGGACGCCCCTCACTCAGCAAGGAAGACCCAGCACAGCCAAAAAGAAACAATTCATTAATTAAAAAAAATTTATAGGGAAAGGGACTGGAATGGCCAAAACAAATTTGGAAAAGAGTAAAGTTGAAGGACCCATGCCACAAAAAGCTACAGGAGAGTGTAGAACTGGCGAAGAGATAAACACCTAGATGAACAGAACAGGATAAAGTCTGGAAACAGACCTGCAAATAATGGCCAATTGATTCTCAACAAAGTCAGATGTTGAAAATCACTGATACAATCAATGATACTGGAATAACTGGGCATCGAATGCCAAAAAGAGAACCTTGACCTAAAGCCTTATACCTTGCAAAAAAAAAAAAAAAATGAACTCAAGATGCATCGTAAGTATAAATGTAAAATAGAAAGCTATGAAACTTTGGGAGCAAAAAAAAGAAAACTTTTGGGACCTTGGGTAGAGCAAAGAGTGTTTAGGTTTGATACCAAAAACACAGTTCATAAAAGAAGTTGGTAAATTGCACTTCATCAAAATTATAAACTGTTGCCCTGTAAGAAACACTATTAAGAGAAAAGACAAGCTGCCGACTGGGAGAAAGATTTGCAAATCCTCTACGTTTCTTCAGAACGTATGAAGAAAACTCAGAAAACAACTCAATTTAAAACAAAAAATTTAAATAGCTGTTTCACCAAACAAAGATACATAATGGCAAATGAGTCCATGAAAAGCTGCTCGACATCAGAAATACAGATTAAAATCACAACGAGATATCCCCACACATCTATTTTAATGGCTTTAAAAAAAAGGATAGTGCTAAATGCTGACAAGGATGAGGCACGGCTGGAATGTTCATTCATGCACTCCTAGTGGGAACACAAAATGGTACAGCCGCTCAGAAAAGGAGTTTGATGCTTTCTTATAAGGTTAATCACTTACCCACTCCTAGGTGTTTACCCTAGAGAAATGCACATTTAAATTCACACAGAAGCCTGGAGATGATTATTTATAGCAGCTTTATTTGCTATTACCAAAAACTAAAAGCCTGGACTATCCACAGAACAAACACACATGTATTTATGGAAATACATTCACGTATTAGACCGCTACTCGGCAGCGAAGATGGTGGGCTGCTGAGCCTCCACCAGCATGGATGAACCTCAGGCACATTGATCGTGCCACGTTGGAGGAGCCAGCCTCAGAAGCACATGTCTTATGAATCCATTTACATGACATCTGGAAGAGACAAAACTGTAGGGACAGAGACCACACAGGTGGTTGTCAAGGGCCAGGGCAGAGGGGCTGGCTATAGGGGAGCTTTGGGGCAGATGAAATCCATCTCTAGCCCGATTATGGTGGGTGCTATAGGAATCTGGACTTTTAAGATTTTATTTTTAATGTGGACTATTTTTAAAGTCTATGGAGTTTGTCACAATACTGCTTCTGTTTTATATTTTGGTTTTTTGGCCACGAGGCACGTGGGATCTTGAGGGATCTGGGCTCCCTGACCAAGGATCGAACCTGTACACCCTGCATTGAAAGGTGAAACCTGTACACCACTGCAACACCAGCGAGATCCCTAGACATTTTTTAGAATCAGAATTCTACACACACACAGCCAGTTTACCACGTGCAAGTTTTAAAACCTAATAATTAAAACACTACATCAGTACATACAACTTCAAGCTAAGTAGTGATTTCACACTATGACGGATTCATATCCGCTGCTTCCTCTCTGCGTAGCTTGCTCCCTGCTCTTGGCTGAGAAGAACACCCCCCTCAAACGTCCTGCTTGTCTGGTTTAACCCCAGTGGGAGTGATAAACTAAACCTGAATGCTCTGGCGTTTAAAGCTTTTTCTGAGTGTTGTAGTTGTTCAGTTGCTAAGTCTTGTCTGACTCTGTGACCCTGTGAACTGCAGCATGCCAAGGCTTCCCTATCGTTCACTAATTCCCTGAGTTATGGACCATAAAATCTTTGCTCCCACCTTTAGGCTGTAATGTTACAGTAGGAAACTGACATTACTACCCATTCTGGTTTGCCAAGAGATTTTTTTTGGCCAATGACATGTATTTTGACATTTCAATATATAGGTACCTTGTTCTATTCATTTAAGTGCAGACGACAGCTAAGGGCATGGACGGAGAGTAAACTGACTGTATTTTGGGTGACCTTCAGCAAGTGACTTAATCTCTCTGGGCCTCAATTTGCTCATTTATAAAGTATAGAAAATAGTAATACCTGTTTCATACGTTAACACGTTTTCAGGGGACTTCCTGATGGTTCAGTGGTTAAGACTCCATGCTTCCACTGCAGACGCCCAGGTTTGATCCTTGGTTGGGGAGCTGAGATCCTACAAACTGTACAGTGTGGCTAAAAACAGAACAAAAAACCAACAACAAGAAAAACACAGTTTAAAAAATTTGTTATTATAATCTTTACAGATATTAACTTTTCTCATCTACATTGTAAGCAGCTTGAGGTCAGAAATCTGTGTGTACCTTTGTTTGTTCCTTCTGGTAAACAAACAGTCTTTTAAAAAAAAAAATCTGTCTTTTAGATTTAGATAAATATAGAGATAGAGGTAGAAAGATTGAGGGCAGGAAGAGAAGGGGACGACAGAGGATGAGATGGTTGGATGGCATCATCAATTCAACAGACATGAGTTTCAGAAAGCTCTGGGAGATGGTGGAAGACAGGGAAGCCTGGCGTGCTGTAGTCCATGGGGTCGCAGAGTCAGACATGACTAAGCAACTGAACAACAGAGATAGAGGTGATCCATCTAGGTAAATATAGAAATGGGGGTGCTGCAGGAGTGTATCCGGCAGAGGAACTGAGAAGACTGTTGTCAGTTGGGTAGGTTAGAGCTTAGACGTTTGCTCAGGGAAGTGTGAGGCAGCAAGACCATGAATCCACATACCAGATCTGATTACCAAGAATGTGCTCCAGCTTCAAAACCGCTTTTTCAAAATCCCTGGTTTCTTTTGAAAGTAGAGGATTTTTTAAAGTAAGCAGAATCTCTCTGTTCCTTTTGAGGAAAATGATTTACTTGTTTCCTAAGACTTGGTGACCTGAGGAAATCAGAGCATAGTCTCTTATTGAACAGAAGAAAAGCAAACAGACCCTAACAGTATCTATGAAGACAAAAAGGATAAACATTTCAGTGATTCTGAGGTCAGTTTAAGAAAACAGAAGGCTGGTCTAGATGGTTGTAGAATTTACAGAATGTTTACCTTGGGAATCAGATCTAATCCTGTCTTTTTTGTTGCTTTTGGATGAGATCATTCAGGGCTAAGTCTCCATCTTTCCCTCCGTAGCTGAATTTTCTAGCCTGTTTCCCAGAGTAAACTGTCCACTTTATTTTCCCTTTTTTTTTTTTTTGTTCTCAAAGTATGAAAGTATCATGATAAATATTTGTTTTTTATATTAATTTGTCAATAACAAGAATCCTCTTCCAGAATTTTCAGTTATGACTCTTACTTTCTTCAGGCAAATTACAAAAAGAAGGTGCTTTATCGAGAGTCTCTGATGAAAGTCTCAATAAAATTCAGGAAGTGGAGTCCCCAGTATTTAAAGAGCTGCCGGGTGCCAAGGCTCATGACGACAGCACCGTCCCCCTCACGGGCTCAGCTGCGGAGCCCTCGGGGACCTCAGAAAGCATGTCGGGGGGTCACCACCCCCGGGCCCCATATGGTAAGTCCCTGGGGGCCGGGGTGGCACGGGGCAGAGGGCAGTTTTGGGGGAGCCAGTTGGCCTGCATGTGGCAATGAGACTCCAGTGCACTCAAGTGTCCCCAGAGAAAACTCAGGGGCTGCAGGGCCCAGGGTTTGGTCAGTCCCAGAGCGGGCTTGTTCCTGCCCCGTGACTTTCTTCCAGGAGCCATGTACCTGCAGTCTCCCAGCAGCACTTCTGGGCCCCTCACCCATGTCTTTCACGTGCAGTCAGCTAACTGCTGGAGATCTGACTATCACTTTATCCAGCTTTTTATACAAACACCTTCCTCCTGGGAGATGCGGAGAGAAAGCGGACGTTGGAACCGGAGGAGTGGTCCCACTGGAGAATCGCAGAAACCATCAGGGCCATCGCGGGGGTCCTCTGTCCCACAGTGTTTGTGGACAGTGGCGGGCCAACTCCTGCCTCTGCCACGCCCGCCTCTCTGCAGGGGCGCTGGCACCGCGGTCCAGGCTGGATCTGCAACTTGGCCAAGAAAGAGAATGAGCTCTGCCCACTGATCTGACAGGTCGCCTTTGACTGTGTCCACCAGCCTTTTTTTAAAATTGAAGTATATAGTTGATTAAACAGCATGTTAATTTCCTCTGTACAGCAAAGTGATTCATATATATATGTGTGTACATGCATATATGTACATCCTTTTTTAAAATATTCTTTTCCATTATGGTTTATTACAGGATATTGAGTATGGTTCCCTGTGCTGTGCTGTAGGACCTTGTTTATCCTTCCTGTGTATAAAAGCTTACATCTGCTAACCCCAGCCTCCCGCTCCATTCCCCTGCCCCCAAGCACCCTTCTGTTCTCTATGTCTGTAACTGTTTCTCTTTCATAGGTGGGTTTGTTTGTGTCATATTTTTAAGGAGCACCTGGAGTGTGTATCTCACAGGGAAATGGGTTGAGTCCCTCTTGTATCAAGTTTTCTGTAAAATAAGCTCCTGATAGCATCCTCCTTCTACCCGATCCTGGAAAAGGAAAGAGTGCTTCCGCGATTTGTGGCAGACACATTTTAGGAGAATACAGCATCATTTTTTAACTGCCCTAATGTTAGTTTTACCATTTGCTGTATGTTTCCAAGGTTCCCTTTTTATTTTTACCATACTTCATGGCCTGTACAGTCAAGTTAGAAAATAAAGAGTAGGGTGGAAAAATGCAAAACCCCTCACTCTCCAGCCTTCCTGAGCTGATGTGGTGGCCCCACAGCATCCCAGGCCTGGACTCAGGCTGTCCCTTGTCCCCGCAGGCCAGGCTCAGTCTGTCCTTTGTCCCCATAGGCCGGGCGCTGTCCATGACGCACGGCACCACCAAGTCGCCTGTGTCCAACGGGACCTTCGGCTTCGACGGCACGGCGCGGACCGACGGTCACGTGTACCACACGGTGCACAAGGACTCCGGGCTCTACAAAGACCTGCTGCACCGCATCCGTGACGAGCGGCCGGCCGACGGGGCCCCGCGGCAGCTGCGGCGCAACAACAGCTACACGTGCTACACGGCGGCCATCTGTGGGCTGCCCGGCCTGGCCACACGCCGCGGTGACACGCCCGCGCCCGAGGACAGCGAGAAGCTGGTGGCCGACGCCGTGGCCTACTCGCGCCGCCGGCTGCGCTACGACAGCTACTCCAGCTACTGCAACGCCGTGGCTGAGGCGGAGATCGAGGCCGAGGAGGGCGGCGTGGAGGTCCGGCTGGCGCCCCAGCTGGCCGAGCCCGAGCCGCCGCGCGACGACCCGGTGGACGAGGAGAAGGAGGAGAAGGACTCGGCCGAGGTGCACCTGCTCTTCCACTTCCTGCAGGTCCTCACCGCCTGCTTCGGCTCCTTTGCGCACGGCGGAAATGACGTGAGGTCAGGACCAGGGCGGGGCCAGGCTGGGGGCGGGGCCTGGAGAGGGACGGGTCAGGATGGCGGGCGTGGTCTGGTGAGGGGGCGGGGTGAGGGGAGGGGCCTGGTGATGGGGGCAGGTTGGGTGAGGGTGGGGCCTGGGGTGGGGAGATGGGCGGGGGGCCAGGGTGGGATGGGCGGGGGGGCCAGGGTGGGATGGGCGGGGGGGGCCAGGGTGGGATGGGCGGGGGGGGCCAGGGTGGGAAGGGCAAGGAGGGGCTGGGGCATGGCAGACACCTGACCCACCCTGGAACCACATAGTTTGCAACCGCCCTTGGTCTGCCAACACCAGGTTTTGTCCACAAGTGCAGCACCTGCATCTTCATGGCACAGATCTTTGAGTGAACCAGATACAGGGAGAGTTGGTCTGGGGTCAGAAATCACAACAGGCGGAAAGAGTAGAACTGGGCTTGGAATCCTGATTTCTGCCCAAGCTGTCCCGGCTTCCTACCCTGGCCTGAGTTCAGTGCCATTTGGCATCATTGCCTTTTGGTTTCGAGGCAGAGAGAGAAGTACCCAGGTTTCCCCCAAGTTGTACAAGGGTCATGTATGAGCAAGTAGCTCCTGTAGTGTACCAGACCGTGTCACAGGTCAGAAAAGTGAGGTGGGAGCCCCCGGGGCTGCCGTGTTGGATGTCCACTCCAGTCAGGAGGGTCCCCGAGGGACACCTGCAGGGACTGAGGGCACAGCTGTGACGACATCTATAGGAGAACCTTCCGGAAGAGGAAAAAGCACTGCTTTATGGGGTTTTCCAGAAAGAACCACCAGCAAGAGCATGGGGAGCTCAGGTCAGCTGGGCACAGAGGCCAGAATGTGTAGGAGTGTGTAGGGTCTCTCCCCTCCTCATACTGGCCCGACATCTCGATCAGTCACTGAATTTTCTGAAGCCTCAGTGTCCCAATCTGTGAAATGGGAGTAAAACTAGTACAAAGGCAGCAGATTTCTATGAGGGTTATGGTGAGGTGCTTATGTGTCCAGACACTTTCACTATTTTCATAGTTATTATGCAGCCTAATGTTTCTGTCCAAATGAGAGAAATGTGCCATCATTGTATTTTTTTGGCCCAGATATATGACTCCATCTTAGACCATCTACACATGTTCAGCTGCATTTCTGTTCTTTTTAAAAGATGTCTTCCAACCAGACAAAGAGGCCTGGACAGCTTATGTTCCGCTCAGTGTCACCTAGGCATTGCTGTCTTATTTTATTGGGGGCACCATGTTCTGTCCTTTCTTAATAATTTTTTACTCCCCTCCCCCACCAGCCCACTTCCTCCTCCTCATCACAAATTCTTTCTGGAAAGCCTGGTACCAGCAACATGTTATGAATTGGGTCCCTTTCCTTTAGAACTAAGTTCCAGTTAAGGAGACAAGAGAGGCATACTCCGGGGAAAGTAACAGAACACCCCAAAACAGCATTTCAAGGCAGAGAAAGAGCCTAGGCCGTAGCTGCTGCAGGTAACCAGAGTGCAGAGCAGCTGTTTGCGGTTTGGAGGCTGATTTTCAGGCTTTTGAGCAGGGATGTAGTCTGATGAAAGCAAGGCTTTAGAAATAACAGTGCAGCAGTGAAGAGGGGGCTTCTGTTTATTCAACAAGTTATTCTGTTTATTCTGCTACTAAGCTTGTACCAGGCTTCAGACCTGAGCCACTTGTAACTTACTCCAGCCCTCCCTCCTCAGAACAGTCCTTTGTAGTCCTAAGTGAAAGAAAGTGAAAGTGTTAGCCACTCAGTCATGTCTGAAGCTTTGTGACCCCATGGACTGGAGCCCACCAGGCTCCTCTGTCCAGAGAATTCTCCAGGCCAGAATACTGGAATGGGTAGCCATTTTCTTTTTCCTAGGAATCTTCCTAACCCAGGGATCGAACCTGGGATTCCCGCATTGCAGGCAGATTCTTCACTGTCTGAGCCACAGGGAAGCCTGCAGTTCTGAGTGATACCCCTCAGAAACCGGTAATCTGAAGCTCAGAAATGTGACTTTTGCCCAGGGCCACACAGTTAGAGAGCAGCCAGCTCTTTGTGACTTGGTCTCCAGAGTGTGGAGGGTGGGCTGGGAACCACAGGGGTCATTCAAAGCCTGTAGGGGGATAATCATCACGGTCAACCTCTCAGGACACGGAGCAGGGGATGAGGGGTGGGAAGAGACCTGGAAGTGCAAATGGAAACTACCCAACACCACTTCTCTTCAATGGAAGAGTCTTTGGCTGATCAGAGAAAACCATATCTTCTTTAAGCTGATAAGAGAATTGTCTCTGGGAGGAATAGGACGGGGAGACCACTTTCTCTCCTACAAATTCATCGAAAGAACATTTGAATGCTGAGCAAATTTCACAAAACAACTTCTGATCGCTAGCAGAGGACATCAGGCGCCCAGAAAAGCAGCCCATTGTCTTCGAAGGGAGGTAGGACAAAATATAAAAGATAAAAAGGGAGTCAAAAGAGCTACGGACGGAGACCCGTCCCGGGAAGGGAGTCTTAATAGAGGAAGTTTCCAATCACCAGGAAACCCTCGCACTGGCGGGACTGGGGGAAGTTTTCGGCAATCTAACTGGGAGGAAAAATTAAACAAGGCCCACAGATTACGTGCCTAAAAGCAACTCCCAGCAGAAAAGTATCCCAGACGCCCGTACCCGCCAGCAACAAGCGGGGGCGGGAAGGAGAGGAGCGGGCGGCATTGCTTAGGGTAAGGACTGGCCCGAAGACCCTGAGAGCAATCGGAGGGAGCTTTTTTAAACTGTGGGATAGCAAGGGTCAAAATTAACCGGCCCGAACACACTGCCGGCGGTTCGCAAAACAAAGGGACTGAGAAAGTGCAGAGAAGAGCCGGCCCATCCCCGCTGGAGGTTGGAGGCAGGGGGGAGGGGAAAAGGGCAAACTCAGCCCCTGAGAAGCCATCCCCTCCCACACTGCAAACAGGCCCCCGGTTCCTATCTAAAGACTTCCTGAGACCCGACTGGCGGCGCGCGCTGGGGCCGCGGAGGGAAAAGCGTGCCGTACCCGGGGAGAGTGCGCCCAAGCCTCTGGCTGCCTGGGCCGCTCGCCGCGGAGGGAAAAGGAGCGCCACATCCGGGGAGAGTGCTCCCAAGCCTCTGGCTGCCTGGGCCGCTCGCCGCGGAGGGAAAAGGCGCGCCGCACCCGGGGAGAGTGCGCCCAAGCCTCTGGCTGCCTGAGCCGCCCGCCGCGGAGGGAAAAGGCGCGCCGCATCCGGGGAGAGTGCGCCCAAGCCTCTGGCTGCCTGAGCCGCCCGCCGCGGAGGGAAAAGGCGCGCCACAGCCGGGGAGAGTGCTCCCAAGCCTCTGGCTGCCTGGGCCGCTCCCCGCGGAGGGAAAAGGCGCGCCGCACCCGGGGAGAGTGCGCCCAAGCCTCTGGCTGCCTGAGCCGCCCGCCGCGGAGGGAAAAGGCGCGCCACAGCCGGGGAGAGTGCGCCCAAGCCTCTGGCTGCCTGAACCGCTCAGGCCGGGGAAGGCACAAAACGCAGGCGCAACCGAATCTGCGCTTTTGTGGAGTACCCGAAAACTGGAACCGCACTCAACGCAGGGCCCGCTCCATATAGAGCAGCCGGGAGCCTGAGCAGTGTAGACGGCGAAAGCACTGACACCCGTGAGTGGGGCAAACCCAGTGTGGCCGGAACACGGTGAGTGCTATCCACACAGAGCGGCATCTGTCTGCAGCGCCCCGCCCTCCCCATAGCAGGACTGAACTGAACTAGAGAACCTAAATAAGAGATCACCTCCGCCCGCCTGTGTCAGGGCGGAAATTAGACACCAAAGAGACGGCAAACAGAAGCCAAATAAACAAAGGGAACCGCTTCAGAAAGGACTGGTGCAACAGATTAAAATCCCTGAAGGTAACACCGACTACACCAGAAGGGGCCTACAGATATCGAGAAGTGTAAGCTGGAAAGAGGAGCTATCTGAAATTGAACTGAACCTACACTGACCGAAACAACTCCAGAGAAATTCCTAGATATATAGATATATTTTTTTTAATTAAAAAAAAAATTTTTTTTCTATCCTTTTTTTTATTTTTTTTATTTATTTTTTCTCTTTTATTTTCTTTTAAAATTCCCTATTACTCCCCCATTACTCCTCAACTTTCATTTTCATATATTTTTACGATTTTTTTAATTAGGGAAAAAAATTTTTTTTTCTTTTTTTTTCTTTTTCTTGTTTTTCTCTCCTATTTCCTTTTAAAGTCCTCTAATACTCCTCTATTATTCCTTAATTTTCATTTTCATTTCACTATAACCTTGCCAAAAAAAAAAAAAGAGAGAAAAACCCTATTTTTAAATCAAACTTCATATACATTTCTAAATTTGTTTTTGTTTTTGTTTTTAAATATTGTATTTCAAAGAGTCTAACCTCTACACTAGATTTTTAATCTTTGTTTTTCAGTAGTATGTGATATAAATTTTGGTCATTTAAGAATCCAATATTCAGTTCCCATTTCTATTCAGGAGTGTGGTGATTACTCTCCCACTTTTGACTCTCTGTTTTCTACCTCAGAACACCTATATTTCCTCCTTTCCCCTTCTCTTCCCAATCCAACTCTGTGAATCTTTGTGGGTGTCTGGGCTACGGAGAACACTTTGGGAACAGATAACTGCGTAGATCTGTCTCTCTCCTCTTGAGTCCCCTTTTCCTCCTCCTGCTCACCTCTATCTCCTTCCTCCCTCTCCTATTCTTCATGTAACTCTGTGAACCTCTCTGGTTGTCTCTCACGGTGGAGAATCTTTTCACCATTAACCTAGAAGTTTTATTATCAGTGCTGTATAGTTGGAGAAGTCTTGAGACTATTGGAAGAATAAAACTGAAATCCAGAGGCAGGAGACTTAAGCCCAAATCTTGAGAAAACCAGAAAACTCCTGACTACACGGAACATTAAGGAATAAGAGACCATCCAAAAGCTTCCATACCTACACCAAAGCCTGTAGGGAGCTTGGGAGTTATCACTACATCCTAACAGCA